TGGGCAGGAAGTTCGCTGCAAGAACCCTTACGCCTGGTTCGAATTTCACCCTCACCCAACCAATCCTAACCAGTACGTGCAGTGCACTAGGTATGGCCCTCAGGTGATGACCTGTCCCCAGGGTTTGATCTGGTCCCAGTCGGCCAGTCTGTGCACCTATGACTACAATAAGCCCATTCCTGACACCGACCCCCTCGTCTGTAACTGCAACAACTGCTTCCTGCCCAACCCCGCTGATGCTACTACCTACTACTGGTGCTTCGTGAGTAGTCTTGTGTTTCTTTATGTTACATCACACACTACAGGCACAGATACAAGTTCGGGTACAAGTGTAGTGAATACCTACAAGTATGAGTACAGGTACGGAGATACAGTAGATATAGTTACAAGTACAGGTACAAGTATAATGTATATAAGTGCAGGAATCTGTTTTGTTGCTTCGGAATAAACACTAAAACGGTAACACAAAATTAATAACAAAATAACACTAAACTCCAATAAATATCCTTCTACTAATGATATTTTTTTCCTTTTTTTCTCCAACCAGGATTCGAACGGTGAGTACAAGGCGACGAGAGGTCAGGTATAAGTGGCACTCTAGAGCCAGCTGGAGTGCCACACGTGGAGAAGAGGGTGGCACCTATGAAAATATGTAAAATGTGACTGACAAGTTTGTGTGTGTGTTAAGTATCAAAAGAGAAGGAAACGTAAGTAGCAGTTGGTGAAGCATATGTGTCTGTCTCTCTGGAAAAGCTAATGTTGCTACCTTCACTGTTTATCGTCTCTCTCTCTGTCTCTCTCTCTCTCACTAATCATCTCTCTCACCCGCTACAGGTGATGGAGTAGCAACACCCAACAAGCAAGCCTGCGCCCCCGGCACCACCTTTAATCAGGCCATCTACCGCTGCACTTAAACTGCGCCTCCACCACCACCTGCGCCACCCAGGTGAGTCACAATTCATTTCCTGTTCCACACCCAGGGACTGTCCCAGACACAAACACGAGAAAATGATCCTTTGCTTTAAAACTAACTAACTCTCTCTCTCTCTCTCTCTCTCTCTCTCTCTCTCTCTCTCTCTCTCTCAGTTTAACCACAAGGTGTCTTAAAATCTCCCGAAGGTGGTATCAGGTAAAGCCCTTGTTAACTCCGGTTTACAGTGACGATACAACCTACTGCAGGAGGGAGAGTGCTCACGGTAACACAGGCTGAATCACCGCCTCCACTCCACACCTTCAAGAGAGGCTCTTAGGTCTTGGCTCTAGTACAGTGCCAGTAAGGGTGTCACCTCCTGCATCGCTACCGGCGTTAATAATTCCACTGACCTGAAGATTAATAGACTTGCTTTATTCTTCTTCTTCTTCTTCTTATTATTATTATTATTATTAATATTTTTTTATAGTTTATTGTTATTATTATTATTATTATTATTATTATTATTATTATTATTATTATCATTATCATCATTATTATTATTATTATTATTATTGTCATTATTATTATAGTTTACTATTATTTACTTAAATTACCCATAGTCAATGCCTTTAAAAGCACTCCAACACACCCACAGAAACACCTGGTGGATATGATGATGATTGCCTGGAAGAAGAGCAGCAACAACAATAAAGCAGCCAGGGGAAACGACAAGAACAATAAACAACAACAAAAGCAGGAACCACAAGAGTCAGAGAAACGACAAGAAGAAAAAACAACAACAAAAGGCAGGAACAAATAAAGTCAGAGGAACTTTCCTAGCTATAACAAATACAGTATAGCATACAATAAATACAACAGCAGTAACTTCAACAACAAAAGAACAGGATTTACTAATATCAAGAACGACAACAAATACAATAACAATGAACCGTAATAACAAGCACAACCAGAACATCAACAAGTTCAAATGCCAGCCACAACAACAACAACAACAACAATAAGAGTGGCCATAACAAAAATCCATTTCACTGGATAGGAATCAGCTTGACAGTGTACACAACAATGACTGGCTTGTGTTGACACCCTCCACACACACTTGCTGCCTCTACACACACCTGCTGCCTCTACACACATCTGCTGGCTCCATACACCTGCTAATAGGCACATATTTGTCAATTTTGCACTGCTTCGGTTCTTATCAACCTATGTTGCTCTGTGTTCTCATTTAGTGTCTAATTGCTTTTCTTTCACTAATAAAAATATAAAAAAATATCATATTTGTATTTTATTTCGAACTGTATTTTCTAATCACGAAATGACAAAATAATAATACTGTAATGGGAAAAAATAGCAAATAAAATCGAAAAAAAAAACATGGACAAATAAAAAATTTCAACAACAATAAATCAATAAAAAGAATAACAAAATGAAAAATAAAATCACACAATCTTAAAAAAAATACAAAAACACGAACAAGAAATATAAAATATAACGAAAAAGTCCAGAAACCTAAAAAGAAAATCATACATAATATAAAAAATAATCATAAAACACGAGAGAAACCTAAAAAAAAAATCACAAGAATAACAAAAACAATATAAAATCCCTCAAACACGAAACCAAAGTTGTATAACAGTCAGTCAGCGCTCCACTAACCAGACATACTTGATGGGAATATTATCCCACAGTAATTTGCGATACTCCCCTTAATTACAATATAACTCTACACGGCTATCGTTCTGTGTTCGTATAATTACTAAAAAAAATAAGACTTTTGTGCATATTTAAAGTTTCTTATGAGTGTTATTGCTATGTGGATCACCTCACACTGACCTGTTATGTTGTTAAGAAGAAATAATAATAATAATAATAATAATAATAATAATAATAATAATAATAATAATAACAATAATAACAATAACAATAACAATAACAATAACAATAATAACAATAACAATAACAATAACAATAAAATAATAACAATAACAATAATAAAGTAATAATAATAATAATAACAATAACATTAACAATAACATTAACAATAACATTAACGATAACATTAACAATAACATTAACATTAACAATAACATTAACAATAACATTAATTAAAATTAAAATAAAAGTAATAATAATGCAAATGCAAATGCAAATGCAAATAAAAATAAAAATAAAAATAAAAATAAATAAAAATAAAAATAAAAATATAAATGTAAATATAAATATAAATAAATATAATATAAATAAAAATAAAAATAAAAACAAAAACAAAAACAAAAATACAAATACAGATACACATAATAATAATGAAAATAAAAATAAAAATAAAAATAAAAATAAAATAATAATAATAATAATAATAATAATAATAATAATAATAATAATAATAATAATAATAATAATAATAAAAATAAAAATAATAATAATAATGATGATGATGATGATGATGATGATGTTGATGATAAAATTAAATAAATGAATAATAATAATATTTATAATAATTATTATTATTATTTTAATAATAATAAAGTTTTTTAACAATATCTCCCATTCAAATTACTTTCTTATTATGATCATCACACTATTATTCACACTATCCTCATCATAATCCCCACAACATCATCAAAACAAACAAACTGACGTAAACAAGTAAACAACATACAGACCCACCATATACCTCGAGGTTAAAGTCTTGCGGCCAGAGACACAACATGAGCTGAGTTTCCCATTGATCAGAATTTTTCACGGCAGCATCATAGCCCAGAGGCTGACCGACGGAATGATTCATTTAAGGTACAGGAACACGGGAAACAACACAGTCTATACCTGTATTAGTGTCCGTGTGTTGGAGAGTATGTGGTATGGTTAGGTATGTGGTATGGTTAGGTTAGGTATGTGGTATGGTTAGCTTAGGTATGAGGTAGTGTTCCATTAGGAATGTGGTAGTGTTACGATAGGTATGTGGGAGTGTTAGGTTAGGTATGTGGAAATGTAAAGTTCGGAATGTGGAAGTGTTAGGATAGGAATGTGGTAGTTATAAGTTAGGAATGTGGTAGTGTTAGGTTAGGAGTGTGGTAGTGTTAGGTTAGGTATGAGGTAGTGTTAAGTTAAGAATGTGGTAGTGTTAGGTTAGGAGTGTGGTAGTGTTAGGTTAGGTATGAGGTAGTGTTAAGTTAAGAATGTGATAGTGTTAGGTTAGGTATGAGGTAGTGTTAAGTTAAGAATGTGGTAGTGTTAGGTTAGGTATGAGGTAGTGTTAGGTTAGGTGTGTGGTAGTGTTAGGTTAGGTGTGTGGTAGTATTAGGTTAGGAGTGTGGTAGTGTTAGGTTAGGAATGTGGTAGTGTTAGGTTATGTACGAGTATGTGGTAGCGTTAGGTATGTGGAAGTGTTAAATATGTGGTAGAACTTTTTACTCTTATTTCTTTTATTAAAACAAATTGACACAACCGATTTACACATATAAAAAAATCCTTTTCGTAACTTTAAACTTTATTTATGTTGTTGATATTAACACGTGTTTATACTTCAATTAACACATGTTGACATTTGAGGCAGGTATTGCGTGTCTGTCTTGATGTTTGGCTAATGATACTAACGGTAGGGGCTGTAAATTAGTACTTAGGACGCTAACCTATCCTAACCTAACTTAATCTAACCTATTCCCTCAGGTAACGTTATGTTGGTTTATCTTCTGGAGAAATAGACTAGGGTGTTTAATCTTCAGGCGATCCGACTTTCTTCATAGTAATTAATGATATAACGCCATCAGGAAATGCATAAACTGAACATTTCTCTAAGTGTATGTAGACTTGCAATACCATCAAGATGTTTCCTAATATGTGAGGCTTATCCTCAATCACTAATATAATCAATCATCTAAATATTACGTGTAATCATCAAGCTTAAGGAATTTTATACAAAGTGACTCAAATTCTCATAGAGATTAACGTTATCAAGGAATGTTTCAGTGACACACCTCTCTGTAATCCTCTGTAAGCTGTAGTTGACGTCAGGGGGAGCGAGTCTATGATAGCGAGGGCAGGTACTTAAACCGCGTCCCCAGCACCATACAGCCAGAGTATTCCAACATTTGTTAGACAACACATCAACCAAATAATAAGTAGCAGCTCCTACACTTGGTGATAGAACCCTCCCAAAACCTCTAACATGAAGCTTTTCACCACTACATCCACCCTGGTGATCCTGGTGGTCTTGGGGATAAATCTGGAGATGGTGACCGCTGAGGACTGTGACCTGCCATCCTGTACAGTCATCTCTGGGCAGGAAGTTCGCTGCAAGAACCCTTACGCCTGGTTCGAATTTCACCCTCACCCAACCAATCCTAACCAGTTCGTACAGTGCACTAGGTATGGCCCTCAGGTGATGACCTGTCCCCAGGGTTTGATTTGGTCCCAGTTACACAGGCTGTGCAACTATGACTACAATAAGCCCATTCCTGACACCGACCCCCTCGTCTGTAACTGCAACAACTGCTTCCTGCCCAACCCCGCTGATGCTACTACCTACTACTGGTGCTTCGTGAGTGGTCTTGTGTTTCTTTATGTTACATCACACACTACAGGCACAGATACAAGCTCGGATACAAGTGTAGGGAATACCTACAAGTATGAGTACAGGTACGGAAATACAGTAGATATACTGTAGTTACAAGTACAGGTACAAGTATAATGTATTAAGTGCAAGAAACTGTTTTGTTGCTTCGGAATAAACACTAAAACGGTAACACAAAATTAATAATAAAATAACACTAAACTCCAATAAATATCCTTCTACTAATGTTATTTTTTTCCTTTTTTTTCTCCAACCAGGATTCGAACGGTCAGTATAAGGCATCGAGAGGTCAGGTATAAGTGGCACTCTAGAGCCAGCTGGGGTGCCACACGTGGAGAAGAGGGTGGCACCTGTTGTTAGTATGTAAAATGTGACTGAAAAGTTTGTGTGTGTGTTAAGTATCAAAAGAGGAGGAAACGTAAGTACCAGTTGGTGAAGCATATGTGTCTGTGTCCCTGCAAAAAATAACGTCGCTCTCTCTCTCTCTCTAATCATCTCTCTCCCCCGCTACAGGTGATGGAGTAATAACACCCCACGAGCAAGCCTGCGCCCCCGGCACCACCTATAATCAGGCCATCAAGCGATGCACTTAAACTGCGCCTCCACCACCATTTGCGCCACCCAAGTGAGTCACAGTTTATTACCTGTCCCATATCCAGGTACTGTCCCAGACACAAACACGAGAAAATAGTCCTTTGCTTTAAAACTCTCTCTCTCTCTCTCTCTCAGTTTAATCACAAAGTGTCTTAGAATCTCCCGAAGGTGGTATCAGGTAAAGTCCTTGTTAACTCCGGTTTACAGTGACGATACAACCTACTGCAGGAGGGAGAGTGCTCACGGTAACACAGGCTCAACCACCACCTCCACTCCACACCTTCAAGAGAGGCACTTAGGTTTTGGCTCTAGTACAGTGCCAGTAAGGGTGTCACCTCCTGCATCGCTACCGGCGTTAATAATTCCTTTGACCTGAAGATGAATAGACTTGCTTTATTAATATTATTATTAATTTACTTTTATTATTATTATTATCGTTATTACCTTATGATTACTACTTTTTATTGTTATTGTTGTTATTATTAGTAGTGGTATTACTGTATTATTATTTTTATTATCAACATTATTATTATAGTTTATTATTATTTACTTAAACTAACCTATAGCCAATTGTTATACCAATATTTCCACACACCCACAGGAACACCTGGTGGATATGACGACGATGACTATCTGGAAGAGCAGCAACAACAAACAACAAAGCAGCAACAACAAACAACAAAGCAGCAACAACAAAAGAACAGGATTTACTATTACCAAGAAGGACAACAAATACAACAACAATGAACCGCAGTACCGAGTACAGCCAGAACATCAAAAACTTTAAATGCCAGCCACAACAACAATAAAAACAACAACTACAACAACAGCAATGGCAACAACTTCAAGAGCAGCAACAACGTCAACAAAAACATCTACAACACCAACAATAACAATGGCCATAACAAAAATCCATTTCACTGGATAGGAATCAGCTTGACAGTGTGCACAACAATGACTGGCTTGTGTTGACACCCTCCACACACACACCTGCTGCCTCTATACACACCTGCTCTTACACACCTGCTGTCTCCACACACCTGCTACTACGTACATATTTGTCAATTTTGCACAGCTTCTGTTCTTATTAACCCATGTTGCTCTGCATTCTCTAATAAGAACTTGTTTTGGTCATTCAGTAAATCATTTTCATTTACACTGGAATTATGTAAACACTTGTATATGGCCGATTTTTTTCATCTTACATATTATATCTAAGGAATATAATTTACAATTGTCCTTTTTAATCTTGCAATCAAGTAATCCAGTATAGAAAATTATTTACAACTGGCTTTTAATAGATTAAAATGTAAACAAAAATATTCATAAATGTGCTTTTCTTTCCCAAATAAATATCCATAAAAAATATCATATTTGTATTTTATTTCGAACTGTATTTTCCAATCACTAAATCATAAAAAACTATTAGTAAAAAAACTGTGAAAAAATTAAAACTGAAAAAAATCCCAACACTAATAAAAAAATAAAGACAATAAAAAACTGTGAAAAATAAAATTACACAAAAATCACAAAAAAAACAAGAAATACCCAAAGCACGAAAAAAATCCATAAACTTAAAAAGAAAAATCACACATAGTATAAAAAATCATAAAACACAAGAAAAACACGAGGCAAAAACTAATTATTACAAGAATAACAAAAACAATGAAAAAATCCCACAAACACGAAACCGAAGTTGTATAACAGACAGTCAGCGCTCCACTAACCAGACATACTTGATGGCAATATTATCATACAGTAATATGCGATACTTCCCTTAATTACAATATAACTCTACAGGGCTATCGTTCTGTGGTCGTATAATTACTAAAAAAATGATCAGGCTTTATTGTGCATATTCAAAGTTTCTTATGATTGTTATGTTGGTGGTTTATAATAATAATAATAATAATAATAATAATAATAATAATAATAATAATAATAATAATAATAATAATAATAATAATAATAATAATAATCTTGAATTTTATTTCCTTTAAAATCAAATCATGATCATCATCTTCATCCGACTGTGAGAAACATTTAGGAATAGGAATCTTAAGCCAAGTCAACAATGTGTATTTGCTTGAAACAAGACTAACAAAGTACTTGGGTTCATACTAAGGAGTGTTAGTTACAAGACTAGCGAGGTTATCCTAAAACTATATCTTGCATTTGTGAGACCTCAATAGGATTACGCAGTTCAGTTCTGGTCACCGTACTACAGAATGGATATAGAATCTCAAGAAAGAATTAAGAGGGCAATGACACGACTAATCCCTCGCATTAAGAACCTGAGTACACAGACAGGTTAAAGCATCTAAATTTGCACTCTCTCTCGAGACGATGAGTGAGGGGCGATATGATCGAGGTGAATAAATGGAAGTCAGGGCTAAACAAAGGTGGAATAACAAAGGTACTCAAACAAACCAACCAGGAGCGAACTCGTAGCAATTTTGAGGTAGCAGGTTGTAAGCAGCTGTCAAACAGGGAGGTTCTACGGCCTGGGAAGATATTGGAAGCCTTATGTGTTGTCTAATGGTAGACCATGCTGCTATATAGCATCACGAAATTGAGACCAAGTTCAAGTTCTTCATCTGTCAGCCTGCCTCATTTACACACAATTGCAGGTCTCAATTGTTTCTCTTACTTGACAACACGACATACATATAGCGTTTCTCACTATTGATTTTTTCTCCATTTTTGTATTTCAATCGTAATTTATTATTATTATTATTATTATTATTATTATTATTATTATTGTCATTATTATTATTACAGTGTTTTTATTATTATTATTTTCATTATTATTTTATTTTAATTTTTATTATAAATTTAGTTTACTATGAATAATTACTAAATTTTCGCTCCCGAGGCTCCGATGTGGGTCAGTCACGTGTGCCCTGGTGGGCTAAACCCCGAACAACAAAAACAAAGAAAGGAAAGACAAATTTAGATTTAGGGGCGAGATAGGTAAACATTGGTTTGAAAATAGAGTAGTGGATGAATGGAACAAGTTACCAAACATCATCATTAACTCGAATACACTGGCTAGCTTCGAACATGTGTTGAATGGATATATGAGCGATAGGGGTTGGGTGTAAACGGGACTGTCTAGTATGGGCTAATAGGCCCGTTTGAGTTTCCTCCATTGATATGTTCTTACGTTCACAACATCATCAAAACATAAACAAAGTGACGTAAACAAGTAAACAACATACAGACCCACCATATACCTCGAGGTTTAAGTCTTGCGGCCAGAGACACAACATGAGCTGAGTTTCCCATTGATCAGAATTTTTCACGGCAGCATCATAGCCCAGAGGCTGACCGACGGAATGATTCATTTAAGGCACAGGAACACGGGAAACAACACAGTCTATACCTGTATTAGTGTCCGTGTGTTGGAGAGTATGTGGTATGGTTAGGTATGTGGTATGGTTAGGTTAGGTATGTGGTATGGTTAGCTTAGGTATGAGGTAGTGTTCCATTAGGAATGTGGTAGTGTTACGATAGGTATGTGGGAGTGTTAGGTTAGGTATGTGGAAATGTAAAGTTCGGAATGTGGAAGTGTTAGGATAGGAATGTGGTAGTTATAAGTTAGGAATGTGGTAGTGTTAGGTTAGGAGTGTGGTAGTGTTAGGTTAGGTATGAGGTAGTGTTAAGTTAAGAATGTGGTAGTGTTAGGTTAGGAGTGTGGTAGTGTTAGGTTAGGTATGAGGTAGTGTTAAGTTAAGAATGTGATAGTGTTAGGTTAGGTATGAGGTAGTGTTAAGTTAAGAATGTGGTAGTGTTAGGTTAGGTATGAGGTAGTGTTAGGTTAGGTGTGTGGTAGTGTTAGGTTAGGTGTGTGGTAGTATTAGGTTAGGAGTGTGGTAGTGTTAGGTTAGGAATGTGGTAGTGTTAGGTTATGTACGAGTATGTGGTAGCGTTAGGTATGTGGAAGTGTTAAATATGTGGTAGAACTTTTTACTCTTATTTCTTTTATTAAAACAAATTGACACAACCGATTTACACATATAAAAAAATCCTTTTCGTAACTTTAAACTTTATTTATGTTGTTGATATTAACACGTGTTTATACTTCAATTAACACATGTTGACATTTGAGGCAGGTATTGCGTGTCTGTCTTGATGTTTGGCTAATGATACTAACGGTAGGGGCTGTAAATTAGTACTTAGGACGCTAACCTATCCTAACCTAACTTAATCTAACCTATTCCCTCAGGTAACGTTATGTTGGTTTATCTTCAGGAGAATTAGACCGGGGTGTTTAATCTTCAGGCGATCCGACTTTCTTCATAGTAATTAATGATATAAGTCCATCAGGAAAAGCATAAACGGAACATTTCTCTAAGTGTATATAGTGTTGCAATACCATCAAGATGTTTCCTAATATGTGAGGCTTATCATCAACCACTAATATATTCAATCATCTAAATATTACGTGTAATCATCAAGCTTAAGGAATTTTATATAAGTGTGTCAACTTCTGATAGAGATTAACGTTATCAAGGAATGTTTCAGTTACACACATCTCTGTAATCCTCTGTAAGCTGTAGTCGACGTCAGGGGGGGCGAGTCTACGATAGCGAGGGCAGGTACTTATACCGCGTCCCCAACACCATACAGCCAGAGTATTCCAACATTTGTTAGACAACACATCAACCAAATCATAAGTAACAGCTCTTACACTTGGTGATACAACCCTCCCAAAACCTCTAGCATGAAGCTGTTCACCACTACATCCACCCTGGTGATCCTGGTGGTGTTGGGGTTAAGTCTGGAGATGGTGACCGCTGAGGACTGTGACCTGCCATCCTGTGCAGTCATCTCTGGGCAGGAAGTTCGCTGTAAGAACCCTTACGCCTGGTTCGAATATCACCCTCACCCAACCAATCCTAACTTGTACGTACAGTGCACAAGGTATGGCCCTCAGGTGATGAGCTGTCCCGAGAGTTTGATCTGGTCCCAGTCGTCCAGACTGTGCAACTATGACAATAAGCCCATTCCTGAAAACTGTAACTGCAACAACTGCTTCCTGCCAAACCCCGCTGATGCTACTACCTACTACTGGTGCTTCGTGAGTAGTCTTGTGTTTCTTTATGTTAAATCACACACTACAGGCACAGATACAAGTTCGGGTACAAGTGTAGGGAATACCTACAAGTATGAGTACAGGTACTGAGATACAGTAGATATAGTTACAAGTAAAGGTACAAGTATAATGTATTAAGCGCAAGAAACTGTTTTGTTGCTTCGGAATAAACACTAAAACGGTAACACAAAATTAATAATAAAATAACACTAAACTCCAATAAATATCCTTCTACTAATGTTATTTTTTTCCTTTTTTTCTCCAACCAGGATTCGAACGGTGAGTATAAGGCATCGAGAGGTCAGGTATAAGTGACACTCTAGAGCCAGCTGGGGTGCCACACGTGGAGAAGAGGGTGGCACCTGTTGTTAGTATGTAAAATTTGACTGAAAAGTTTGTGTGTGTGTTAAGTATCAAAAGAGGAGGAAACGTAAGTACCAGTTGGTGAAGCATATGTGTCTGTCTCTCTGCAAAAAATAACGTCGCTCTCTCTCTCTCTCTCTCTAATCATCTCTCTCCCCCGCTACAGGTGATGGAGTAATAACACCCCACGAGCAAGCCTGCGCCCCCGGCACCACCTATAATCAGGCCATCAAGCGCTGCACTTAAACTGCGCCTCCACCACCATTTGCGCCACCCAGGTGAGTCACAGTTTATTACCTGTCCCACATACAGTTACTGTCCCAGACACAAACACGAGAAAATAGTCCTTTGCTTTAAAACTCTCTCAGTTTAATCACAAAGTGTCTTAGAATCTCACGAAGGTGGTATCAGGTAAAGTCCTTGTTAACTCCGGTTTACAGTGACGATACAACCTACTGCAGGAGAGAGAGTGCTCACGGTAACACAGGCTGAATCACCGCCTCCACTCCACACCTTCAAGAGAGGCACTTAGGTTTTGGCTCTAGTACAGTGCCAGTAAGGGTGTCACCTCCTGCATCGCTACCGGCGTTAATAATTCCACTGACCTGATGATTAATAGACTTGCTTTATTATTATTATTATTATTATTATTATTATTATTATTATTATTATTATTACTTTACGATTATTACTAAAATTATTATTGTTATTATTATTATTATTTTCATTATCATCATTACTATTATAGTTTATTATTAATTACTTAAATTATTATTGTTATTATTATTATTATTTTCATTATCATCATTACTATTATAGTTTATTATTAATTACTTAAACTAACCTACAGCCAATTGCTTTACCATTATTTCCACACACCCACAGGAACACCTGGTGGATATGATGACGATGACTATCTGGAAGAGCAGCAACAACAAACAACAAAGCAGCAACAACAAAAGAACAGGATTTACTATTACCAAGAAGGACAACAAATACAACAACAATGAACCGTACTACCGAGTACAGCCAGAACATCAAAAACTTTATATGCCAGCCACAACAACAATAAAAACAAGTACAACAACAGCAATGGCTACAACTACAAAAGCAGCAACAACGTCAACAAAAACATCTACAACACCAACAATAACAGTGGCCACTGGCCATAACAAAAATCCATTTCACTGGATAGGAATCAGCTTGACAGTGTACACAACAATGACTGGCTTGTGTTGACACCCTCCACACACACACACCTGCTGCCTCTATACACACCTGCTCTTACACACCTGCTGTCTCCACACACCTGCTACTACGTACATATTTGTCAATTTTGCACAGCTTCTGTTCTTATTAACCCATGTTGCTCTGCATTCTCTTATAAGAACTTGTTTTGATCATTCAATAAATCAGTTTCATTTACACTGGAATTATGTAAACACTTGTATATGGCCGATTTTTTTCATCTTGCATATTATATCTAAGGAATATAATTTACAATTGTCCTTTTTAATCTTGCAATCACGTAATCGAGTATTGAAAATTATTTACAACTGGATTTTAATAGATAAAAATGTAAAGAAAATATTCATAAATGTGCTTTTCTTTCCCAAATATAAATCCATAAAAAATAAAAATTTTGAATTTATTTCGAACTGTATTTTCCAATCACTAAATCATAAAAAACTAATAATAAGAAACTGAAAAAAAATTAAAACTGAAAAAAATCTCATCACTAATAAAAAAATAAAGATAATAAAAAACTGAAAAATAAAATCACACAAACATAAAAATCACAAAAAAACAAAAATGAGAATTACCCAAAACACGAAAAAATCCATAAACTTAAAAATAAAATCACACCTAATATAAAAAAGTCATAAAACACAAGAAAAACACGATGCAAAACTAATTATTACAAGAATAACAAAAACAATGAAAAAATCCCACAAACACGAAAGAAACGTTGTATAACAGACAGTCAGCGCTCCACTAACCAGACATACTTGATGGCAATATTATCATACAGTAATATGCGATACTTCCCATAATTACAATATAACTCTACACGGCTATCGTTCTGTGGTCGTATAATTACTAAAAAAAATGATCAGGCTTTATCGTGCATATTCAAAGTTTCTTATGATTGTTATGTTGGTGGTAAATAATAATAATATTATTAATAATAATAATAATAATAATAATAATAATAATAATAATAATAATAATAATAATAATAATAATAATAATAATAATAATAATAATAATAATCTTTAATTTTATTTCCTTTAAAATCAAATCATCATCATCATCTTCATCCGACTGTGAGAAACATTTAGGAGTAGGAATCTTAAGCCAAGTCAACAATGTGTATTTGCTTGAAACAAGACTAACAAAGTACTTGGGTTCATACTAAGGAGTGTTAGTTACAAGACTAGCGAGGTTATCCTAAAACTATATCTTGCATTTGTGAGACCTCAATAGGATTACGCAGTTCAGTTCTGGTCACCGTACTACAGAATGGATATAGAATCTCAAGAAAGAATTAAGAGGGCAATGACACGACTAATCCCTCGCATTAAGAACCTGAGTACACAGACAGGTTAAAGTATCATAATTTGCACTCTCTCGAGAGACGATGAGTGAGGGGCGATATGATCGAGGTGAATAAATGGAAGTCAGGGCTAAACAAAGGTGGTATATCAAAGGTACTCAAACTAACCAACCAGGAGCGAACTCGTAGCAATTTTGAGGCAGCAGGTTGTAAGCAGCTGTCAAACAGGGAGGTTCTACGGCCTTGGAAGATATTGGAAGCCTAATGTGTTGTCTAATAGTAGACCATGCTGCTATATGGCATCACGAAAATTGAGACCAAGTTCCAAGTTCATCATCTGTCCTTCCGCCTCATTTACACACAATTGCAGGTCTCAATTGTTTCTCTTACTTGACAACACGACATACATATAGCGTTTCTCACTATTGATTTTTTCTCCATTTTTGTATTTCAATCGTAATTTATTATTATTATTATTATTATTATTATTATTATTATTATTATTATTATTGTCATTATTATTATTACAGTGTTTTTATTATTATTATTTTCATTATTATTTTATTTTAATTTTTATTATAAATTTAGTTTACTATGAATAATTACTAAATTTTCGCTCCCGAGGCTCCGATGTGGGTCAGTCACGTGTGCCCTGGTGGGCTAAACCCCGAACAACAAAAACAAAGAAAGGAAAGACAAATTTAGATTTAGGGGCGAGATAGGTAAACATTGGTTTGAAAATAGAGTAGTGGATGAATGGAACAAGTTACCAAACATCATCATTAACTCGAATACACTGGCTAGCTTCGAACATGTGTTGAATGGATATATGAGCGATAGGGGTTGGGTGTAAACGGGACTGTCTAGTATGGGCTAATAGGCCCGTTTGAGTTTCCTCCATTGATATGTTCTTACGTTCACAACATCATCAAAACATAAACAAAGTGACGTAAACAAGTAAACAACATACAGACCCACCATATACCTCGAGGTTAAAGTCTTGCGGCCAGAGACACAACATGAGCTGAGTTTCCCATTGATCAGAATTTTTCACGGCAGCATCATAGCCCAGAGGCTGACCGACGGAATGATTCATTTAAGGCACAGGAACACGGGAAACAACACAGTCTATACCTGTATTAGTGTCCGTGTGTTGGAGAGTATGTGGTATGGTTAGGTATGTGGTATGGTTAGGTTAGGTATGTGGTATGGTTAGCTTAGGTATGAGGTAGTGTTCCATTAGGAATGTGGTAGTGTTACGATAGGTATGTGGGAGTGTTAGGTTAGGTATGTGGAAATGTAAAGTTCGGAATGTGGAAGTGTTAGGATAGGAATGTGGTAGTTATAAGTTAGGAATGTGGTAGTGTTAGGTTAGGAGTGTGGTAGTGTTAGGTTAGGTATGAGGTAGTGTTAAGTTAAGAATGTGGTAGTGTTAGGTTAGGAGTGTGGTAGTGTTAGGTTAGGTATGAGGTAGTGTTAAGTTAAGAATGTGATAGTGTTAGGTTAGGTATGAGGTAGTGTTAAGTTAAGAATGTGGTAGTGTTAGGTTAGGTATGAGGTAGTGTTAGGTTAGGTGTGTGGTAGTGTTAGGTTAGGTGTGTGGTAGTATTAGGTTAGGAGTGTGGTAGTGTTAGGTTAGGAATGTGGTAGTGTTAGGTTATGTACGAGTATGTGGTAGCGTTAGGTATGTGGAAGTGTTAAATATGTGGTAGAACTTTTTACTCTTATTTCTTTTATTAAAACAAATTGACACAACCGATTTACACATATAAAAAAATCCTTTTCGTAACTTTAAACTTTATTTATGTTGTTGATATTAACACGTGTTTATACTTCAATTAACACATGTTGACATTTGAGGCAGGTATTGCGTGTCTGTCTTGATGTTTGGCTAATGATACTAACGGTAGGGGCTGTAAATTAGTACTTAGGACGCTAACCTATCCTAACCTAACTTAATCTAACCTATTCCCTCAGGTAACGTTATGTTGGTTTATCTTCTGGAGAAATAGACTAGGGTGTTTAATCTTCAGGCGATCCGACTTTCTTCATAGTAATTAATGATATAACGCCATCAGGAAATGCATAAACTGAACATTTCTCTAAGTGTATGTAGACTTGCAATACCATCAAGATGTTTCCTAATATGTGAGGCTTATCCTCAATCACTAATATAATCAATCATCTAAATATTACGTGTAATCATCAAGCTTAAGGAATTTTATACAAAGTGACTCAAATTCTCATAGAGATTAACGTTATCAAGGAATGTTTCAGTGACACACCTCTCTGTAATCCTCTGTAAGCTGTAGTTGACGTCAGGGGGAGCGAGTCTATGATAGCGAGGGCAGGTACTTAAACCGCGTCCCCAGCACCATACAGCCAGAGTATTCCAACATTTGTTAGACAACACATCAACCAAATAATAAGTAGCAGCTCCTACACTTGGTGATAGAACCCTCCCAAAACCTCTAACATGAAGCTTTTCACCACTACATCCACCCTGGTGATCCTGGTGGTCTTGGGGATAAATCTGGAGATGGTGACCGCTGAGGACTGTGACCTGCCATCCTGTACAGTCATCTCTGGGCAGGAAGTTCGCTGCAAGAACCCTTACGCCTGGTTCGAATTTCACCCTCACCCAACCAATCCTAACCAGTTCGTACAGTGCACTAGGTATGGCCCTCAGGTGATGACCTGTCCCCAGGGTTTGATTTGGTCCCAGTTACACAGGCTGTGCAACTATGACTACAATAAGCCCATTCCTGACACCGACCCCCTCGTCTGTAACTGCAACAACTGCTTCCTGCCCAACCCCGCTGATGCTACTACCTACTACTGGTGCTTCGTGAGTGGTCTTGTGTTTCTTTATGTTACATCACACACTACAGGCACAGATACAAGCTCGGATACAAGTGTAGGGAATACCTACAAGTATGAGTACAGGTACGGAAATACAGTAGATATACTGTAGTTACAAGTACAGGTACAAGTATAATGTATTAAGTGCAAGAAACTGTTTTGTTGCTTCGGAATAAACACTAAAACGGTAACACAAAATTAATAATAAAATAACACTAAACTCCATTAAATATCCTTCTACTAATGTTATTTTTTTCCTTTTTTTCCAACAAGGATTCGAACGGTGAGTACTTGGCATCGAGAGGTCAGGTATAAGTGGCACTCTAGGCCAGCTGGAGTGCCTCACGTGGAGAAGAGGGTGGCACCTGTTGTAAGTATGCAAAATGTGACTGACAAGTTTGTGTGTGTGTTAAGTATCAAAAGAGAAGGAAACGTAAGTAGCAGTTGGAGAAGCATATGTGTCTGTCTCTCTGGAAAAGGTAACGTCGTTCTCTCTTCAGTATTTATCTTCACCCCCCCCGTTCTCTCTCTCTCTCTCTCTCTCTCTCTCTCTCTCTCTCTCTCTCTTTTTCTCTCACTAATCAGCTCTCTCACCCGCTACAGGTGATGGAGTAGCAACACCCAACAAGCAAGCCTGCGCCCCCGGCACCACCTTTAATCAGGCCATCTACCGCTGCACTTAAACTGCGCCTCCACCACCACCTGCGCCACCCAGGTGAGTCACAATTCATTTCCTGTCCCACACCCAGGGACTGTCCCAGACACAAACACGAGAAAATGATCCTTTGCTTTAAAACTAACTAACTCTCTCTCTCTCTCTCTCTCTCTCTCTCTCTCTCTCTCTCTCTCTCTCAGTTTAACCACAAGGTGTCTTAAAATCTCCCGAAGGTGGTATCAGGTAAAGCCCTTGTTAACTCCGGTTTACAGTGACGATACAACCTACTGCAGGAGGGAGAGTGCTCACGGTAACACAGGCTGAATCACCGCCTCCACTCCACACCTTCAAGAGAGGCTCTTAGGTCTTGGCTCTAGTACAGTGCCAGTAAGGGTGTCACCTCCTGCATCGCTACCGGCGTTAATAATTCCACTGACCTGAAGATTAATAGACTTGCTTTATTCTTCTTCTTCTTCTTCTTCTTATTATTATTATTATTATTATTATTAATATTTTTTTATAGTTTATTGTTATTATTATTATTATTATTATTATTATTATTATTATTATTATTATCATTATCATCATTATTATTATTATTATTATTATTGTCATTATTATTATAGTTTACTATTATTTACTTAAATTACCCATAGTCAATGCCTTTAAAAGCACTCCAACACACCCACAGAAACACCTGGTGGATATGATGATGATTGCCTGGAAGAAGAGCAGCAACAACAATAAAGCAGCCAGGGGAAACGACAAGAACAATAAACAACAACAAAAGGCAGGAACAAATAAAGTCAGAGGAACTTTCCTAGCTATAACAAATACAGTATAGCATACAATAAATACAACAGCAGTAACAACAACAACAAAAGAACAGGATTTACTAATATCAAGAACGACAACAAATACAATAACAATGAACCGTAATAACAAGCACAACCAGAACACCAACAAGTTCAAATGCCAGCCACAACAACAACAACAACAATAACAGTGGCCATAACAAAAATCCATTTCACTGGATAGGAATCAGCTTGACAGTGTACACAACAATGACTGGCTTGTGTTGACACCCTCCACACACACTTGCTGCCTCTACACAGACCTGCTGGCTTTACACATCTGCTGGCTCCATACACCTGCTAATAGGCACATATTTGTCAATTTTGCACTGCTTCGGTTCTTATCAACCTATGTTGCTCTGTGTTCTCATTTAGTGTCTAATTGCTTTTCTTTCACTAATAAAAATATAAAAAAATATCATATTTGTATTTTATTTCGAACTGTATTTTCCAATCACGAAATGACAAAATAATAATACTGTAATCGGAAAAAATAGCAAATAAAATCGAAAAAAAACATGGACAAATAAAAAATTTCAACAACAATAAATCAATAAAAATAATAACAAAATGAAAAATAAAATCACACAATCTTAAAAAAAAATGCAAAAATACGAACAAGAAATATAATATAAAACGAAAAAGTCCAGAAACCTAAAAAGAAAATCATACATAATATAAAAAAAAATCATAAAACACGAGAGAAACCTAAAAAAAAAAATCACAAGAATAACAAAAACAATATAAAATCCCTCAAACACGAAACCAAAGTTGTATAACAGACAGTCAGCGCTCCACTAACCAGACATACTTGATGGCAATATTATCCCACAGTAATTTGCGATACTCCCCTTAATTACAATATAACTCTACACGGCTATCGTTCTGTGTTCGTATAATTACTAAAAAAAATAAGACTTTTGTGCATATTTAAAGTTTCTTATGAGTGTTATTGCTATGTGGATCACCTCACACTGACCTGTTATGTTATTAAGAAGAAATAATAATAATAATAATAATAATAATAATAATAATAATAATAATAATAATAACAATAACAATAACAATAACAATAAAAATAACAATAAAAATAAAATAATAACAATAACAATAATAAAGTAATAATAATAATAACAATAACAATAACATTAACATTAACAATAACATTAACAATAGCATTAACGATAACATTAACAATAACATTAACATTAACAATAACATTAACAATAACATTAACATTAACAATGGCATTGACATTGTGATAATAGTAACAATGATTAGTTAAAGGTTAAAGATAAAGGAAATTAATAATGATACAAGTACAATAAAAGTAAAATAAAATATAAAATAAAGATAAAGTAATATAAAATAAAGATAAAGAAATATGATATAAATACTAAATAAATAAATATAAATATAAATAAAATGAAAATAAAACAAGAAACTAAAACAAAGGAAATGCAAATACAGATACAAATGCAGATACAAATGCAGATACACATAAAATAAAATAAAATAAAATAAAATAAAATAAAATAAAATAATAATAATAATAATAATAATAATAATAATAATAATAATAATAATAATAATAATAATAATAATAATAATAATAATAATAATAAAAATAATAATAATAATAATAATAATGATGATGATGATGATGATGTTGTTGATGATAAAATGAAATAAATGAATAATAATAATATTAATAATAATTATTATTATAATAATAATAATAAAGTTTTTTAACAATATCTCCCATTAAAATTACCTTCTTATTATAATCATCACACTATTATTCACACTATCATCATCATAATCCCCACAACATCATCACAACATAAACAAACTGACGTAAACAAGTAAACAACATACAGACCCACCATATACCTCGAGGTTAAAGTCTTGCGGCCAGAGACACAACATGAGCTGAGTTTCCCATTGATCAGAATTTTTCACGGCAGCATCATAGCCCAGAGGCTGGCCGACGGAATGATTCATTTAAGGCACAGGAACACGGGAAACAACACAGTCTATACCTGTATTAGTGTCCGTGTGTTGGAGAGTATGTGGTATGGTTAGGTATGTGGTATGGTTAGGTTAGGTATGTGGTATGGTTAGGTTAGGTATGTGGTATGGTTAGGTTAGGAGCATGGTAGTGTTAGGTTAGGTATGAGGTAGTGTTCAGTTAGGAATGTGGAAGTGTTAAGTTAGAAATGTAGTAGTGTAAAGTTAGGTATGTGCTTGTGTACGGTTAGGAATGTGGTAGTGTTAGGTAAGGTATGAGGTAGTGTTAGGTATGTGGTAACGTTAGGTATGTGGAAGTGTTAAATATGCGGTAGAACTTTTTACTCTTATTTCTCTTATTAAAACAAATTGACACAACTGATTTACACTCATAAAAAATCTTTTTAGTAACTTTAAACTTCATTTATGTTGTTGATATTAACACGTGTTTATACTTCAATTAACACCTGTTGACATTTGAGGCAGGTATTGTGTGTGTGTCTTGATGTTTGGCTAATGATACTAACGTTAGGGGCTGTAAATTAGTACTTAGGACGCTAACCTATCCTAACCTAACTTAATCTAACTTATTCCCTGAGGTAACGTTATGTTGGTTTATCTTCTGGAGAATTAGACCGGGGTGTTTAATCTTCAGGCGATCCGACTTTCTTCATAGTAATTAATGATATAAGTCCATCAGGAAAAGCATAAACGGAACATTTCTCTAAGTGTATATAGAGTTGCAATACCATCAAGATGTTTCCTAATATATGAGGCTTATCATCAACCACTAATATATTCAATCATCTAAATATTACGTGTAATCATCAAGCTTAAGGAATTTTATACAAGTGTGTCAACTTCTCATAGAGATTAACGTTATCAAGGAATGTTTCAGTTACACACATCTCTGTAATCCTCTGTAAGCTGTAGTCGACGTCAGGGGGGGCGAGTCTACAATAGCGAGGGCAGGTACTTATACCGCGTCCCCAGCACCATACAGCCAGAGTATGACAACATTTGTTAGACAACACACCAACCAAATCATAAGTAACAGCTCCTACACTTGGTGATACAACCCTCCCAAAACCTCTAGCATGAAGCTGTTCACCACTACATCCACCCTGGTGATCCTGGTGGTGTTGGGGTTAAGTCTGGAGATGGTGACCGCTGAGGACTGTGACCTGCCATCCTGTGCAGTCATCTCTGGGCAGGAAGTTCGCTGCAAGAACCCTTACGCCTGGTTCGAATATCACCCTCACCCAACCAATCCTAACTTGTACGTACAGTGCACAAGGTATGGCCCTCAGGTGATGAGCTGTCCCGAGAGTTTGATCTGGTCCCAGTCGTCCAGACTGTGCAACTATGACAATAAGCCCATTCCTGAAAACTGTAACTGCAACAACTGCTTCCTGCCAAACCCCGCTGATGCTACTACCTACTACTGGTGCTTCGTGAGTAGTCTTGTGTTTCTTTATGTTAAATCACACACTACAGGCACAGATACAAGTTCGGGTACAAGTGTAGGGAATACCTACAAGTATGAGTACAGGTACTGAGATACAGTAGATATAGTTACAAGTAAAGGTACAAGTATAATGTATTAAGCGCAAGAAACTGTTTTGTTGCTTCGGAATAAACACTAAAACGGTAACACAAAATTAATAATAAAATAACACTAAACTCCAATAAATATCCTTCTACTAATGTTATTTTTTTCCTTTTTTTCTCCAACCAGGATTCGAACGGTGAGTATAAGGCATCGAGAGGTCAGGTATAAGTGACACTCTAGAGCCAGCTGGGGTGCCACACGTGGAGAAGAGGGTGGCACCTGTTGTTAGTATGTAAAATTTGACTGAAAAGTTTGTGTGTGTGTTAAGTATCAAAAGAGGAGGAAACGTAAGTACCAGTTGGTGAAGCATATGTGTCTGTCTCTCTGCAAAAAATAACGTCGCTCTCTCTCTCTCTCTCTCTAATCATCTCTCTCCCCCGCTACAGGTGATGGAGTAATAACACCCCACGAGCAAGCCTGCGCCCCCGGCACCACCTATAATCAGGCCATCAAGCGCTGCACTTAAACTGCGCCTCCACCACCATTTGCGCCACCCAGGTGAGTCACAGTTTATTACCTGTCCCACATACAGTTACTGTCCCAGACACAAACACGAGAAAATAGTCCTTTGCTTTAAAACTCTCTCTCTCTCTCTCTCAGTTTAATCACAAAGTGTCTTAGAATCTCACGAAGGTGGTATCAGGTAAAGTCCTTGTTAACTCCGGTTTACAGTGACGATACAACCTACTGCAGGAGAGAGAGTGCTCACGGTAACACAGGCTGAATCACCGCCTCCACTCCACACCTTCAAGAGAGGCACTTAGGTTTTGGCTCTAGTACAGTGCCAGTAAGGGTGTCACCTCCTGCATCGCTACCGGCGTTAATAATTCCACTGACCTGATGATTAATAGACTTGCTTTATTATTATTATTATTATTATTATTATTATTATTATTATTATTATTATTACTTTACGATTATTACTAAAATTATTATTGTTATTATTATTATTATTTTCATTATCATCATTACTATTATAGTTTATTATTAATTACTTAAACTAACCTACAGCCAATTGCTTTACCATTATTTCCACACACCCACAGGAACACCTGGTGGATATGATGACGATGACTATCTGGAAGAGCAGCAACAACAAACAACAAAGCAGCAACAACAAAAGAACAGGATTTACTATTACCAAGAAGGACAACAAATACAACAACAATGAACCGTACTACCGAGTACAGCCAGAACATCAAAAACTTTATATGCCAGCCACAACAACAATAAAAACAAGTACAACAACAGCAATGGCTACAACTACAAAAGCAGCAACAACGTCAACAAAAACATCTACAACACCAACAATAACAGTGGCCACTGGCCATAACAAAAATCCATTTCACTGGATAGGAATCAGCTTGACAGTGTACACAACAATGACTGGCTTGTGTTGACACCCTCCACACACACACACCTGCTGCCTCTATACACACCTGCTCTTACACACCTGCTGTCTCCACACACCTGCTACTACGTACATATTTGTCAATTTTGCACAGCTTCTGTTCTTATTAACCCATGTTGCTCTGCATTCTCTTATAAGAACTTGTTTTGATCATTCAATAAATCAGTTTCATTTACACTGGAATTATGTAAACACTTGTATATGGCCGATTTTTTTCATCTTGCATATTATATCTAAGGAATATAATTTACAATTGTCCTTTTTAATCTTGCAATCACGTAATCGAGTATTGAAAATTATTTACAACTGGATTTTAATAGATAAAAATGTAAAGAAAATATTCATAAATGTGCTTTTCTTTCCCAAATATAAATCCATAAAAAATAAAAATTTTGAATTTATTTCGAACTGTATTTTCCAATCACTAAATCATAAAAAACTAATAATAAGAAACTGAAAAAAAATTAAAACTGAAAAAAATCTCATCACTAATAAAAAAATAAAGATAATAAAAAACTGAAAAATAAAATCACACAAACATAAAAATCACAAAAAAACAAAAATGAGAATTACCCAAAACACGAAAAAATCCATAAACTTAAAAATAAAATCACACCTAATATAAAAAAGTCATAAAACACAAGAAAAACACGATGCAAAACTAATTATTACAAGAATAACAAAAACAATGAAAAAATCCCACAAACACGAAAGAAACGTTGTATAACAGACAGTCAGCGCTCCACTAACCAGACATACTTGATGGCAATATTATCATACAGTAATATGCGATACTTCCCATAATTACAATATAACTCTACACGGCTATCGTTCTGTGGTCGTATAATTACTAAAAAAAATGATCAGGCTTTATCGTGCATATTCAAAGTTTCTTATGATTGTTATGTTGGTGGTAAATAATAATAATATTATTAATAATAATAATAATAATAATAATAATAATAATAATAATAATAATAATAATAATAATAATAATAATAATAATAATAATAATAATAATAATCTTTAATTTTATTTCCTTTAAAATCAAATCATCATCATCATCTTCATCCGACTGTGAGAAACATTTAGGAGTAGGAATCTTAAGCCAAGTCAACAATGTGTATTTGCTTGAAACAAGACTAACAAAGTACTTGGGTTCATACTAAGGAGTGTTAGTTACAAGACTAGCGAGGTTATCCTAAAACTATATCTTGCATTTGTGAGACCTCAATAGGATTACGCAGTTCAGTTCTGGTCACCGTACTACAGAATGGATATAGAATCCCAATAAAGAATTAAGAGGGCAATGACACGACTAATCCCTGGCATTAGGAACCTGAGTACACAGACAGGTTAAAGTATCATAATTTGCACTCTCTCGAGAGACGATGAGTGAGGGGCGATATGATCGAGGTGAATAAATGGAAGTCAGGGCTAAACAAAGGTGGTATATCAAAGGTACTCAAACTAACCAACCAGGAGCGAACTCGTAGCAATTTTGAGGCAGCAGGTTGTAAGCAGCTGTCAAACAGGGAGGTTCTACGGCCTTGGAAGATATTGGAAGCCTAATGTGTTGTCTAATAGTAGACCATGCTGCTATATGGCATCACGAAAATTGAGACCAAGTTCCAAGTTCATCATCTGTCCTTCCGCCTCATTTACACACAATTGCAGGTCTCAATTGTTTCTCTTACTTGACAACACGACATACATATAGCGTTTCTCACTATTGATTTTTTCTCCATTTTTGTATTTCAATCGTAATTTATTATTATTATTATTATTATTATTATTATTATTATTATTATTATTATTGTCATTATTATTATTACAGTGTTTTTATTATTATTATTTTCATTATTATTTTATTTTAATTTTTATTATAAATTTAGTTTACTATGAATAATTACTAAATTTTCGCTCCCGAGGCTCCGATGTGGGTCAGTCACGTGTGCCCTGGTGGGCTAAACCCCGAACAACAAAAACAAAGAAAGGAAAGACAAATTTAGATTTAGGGGCGAGATAGGTAAACATTGGTTTGAAAATAGAGTAGTGGATGAATGGAACAAGTTACCAAACATCATCATTAACTCGAATACACTGGCTAGCTTCGAACATGTGTTGAATGGATATATGAGCGATAGGGGTTGGGTGTAAACGGGACTGTCTAGTATGGGCTAATAGGCCCGTTTGAGTTTCCTCCATTGATATGTTCTTACGTTCACAACATCATCAAAACATAAACAAAGTGACGTAAACAAGTAAACAACATACAGACCCACCATATACCTCGAGGTTAAAGTCTTGCGGCCAGAGACACAACATGAGCTGAGTTTCCCATTGATCAGAATTTTTCACGGCAGCATCATAGCCCAGAGGCTGACCGACGGAATGATTCATTTAAGGTATAGGAACACGGGAAACAACACAGTCTATACCTGTATTAGTGTCCGTGTGTTGGAGAGTATGTGGTATGGTTAGGTATGTGGTATGGTTAGGTTAGGTATGTGGTATGGTTAGGTTAGGAGCATGGTAGTGTTAGGTTAGGTATGAGGTAGTGTTCAGTTAGGAATGTGGAAGTGTTAAGTTAGAAATGTAGTAGTGTAAAGTTAGGTATGTGCTTGTGTACGGTTAGGTATGTGGTAGTGTTAGGTAAGGTATGAGGTAGTGTTAGGTATGTGGTAACGTTAGGTATGTGGAAGTGTTAAATATGCGGTAGAACTTTTTACTCTTATTTCTCTTATTAAAACAAAGTGACACAACCGATTTACACTCATAAAAAATCTTTTTAGTAACTTTAAACTTCATTTATGTTGTTGATATTAACACGTGTTTATACTTCAATTAACACCTGTTGACATTTGAGGCAGGTATTGTGTGTCTGTCTTGATGTTTGGCTAATGATACTAACGGTAGGGGCTGTAAATTAGTACTTAGGACGCTAACCTATCCTAATCTAACTTAATCTAACCTATTCCCTCAGGTAACGTTATGTTGGTTTATCTTCAGGAGAATTAGACCGGGGTGTTTAATCTTCAGGCGATCCGACTTTCTTCATAGTAATTAATGATATAAGTCCATCAGGAAAAGCATAAACGGAACATTTCTCTAAGTGTATATAGTGTTGCAATACCATCAAGATGTTTCCTAATATGTGAGGCTTATCATCAAACACTAATATATTCAATCATCTAAATATTACGTGTAATCATCAAGCTTAAGGAATTTTATATAAGTGTGTCAACTTCTGATAGAGATTAACGTTATCAAGGAATGTTTCAGTTACACACATCTCTGTAATCCTCTGTAAGCTGTAGTCGACGTCAGGGGGGGCGAGTCTACGATAGCGAGGGCAGGTACTTATACCGCGTCCCCAGCACCATACAGCCAGAGTATTCCAACATTTGTTAGACAACACATCAACCAAATCATAAGTAACAGCTCTTACACTTGGTGATACAACCCTCCCAAAACCTCTAGCATGAAGCTGTTCACCACTACATCCACCCTGGTGATCCTGGTGGTGTTGGGGTTAAGTCTGGAGATGGTGACCGCTGAGGACTGTGACCTGCCATCCTGTGCAGTCATCTCTGGGCAGGAAGTTCGCTGTAAGAACCCTTACGCCTGGTTCGAATATCACCCTCACCCAACAAATCCTAACTTGTACGTACAGTGCACAAGGTATGGCCCTCAGGTGATGAGCTGTCCCGAGAGTTTGATCTGGTCCCAGTCGTCCAGACTGTGCAACTATGACAATAAGCCCATTCCTGAAAACTGTAACTGCAACAACTGCTTCCTGCCAAACCCCGCTGATGCTACTACCTACTACTGGTGCTTCGTGAGTAGTCTTGTGTTTCTTTATGTTACATCCACCACTACAGGCACAGATACAAGTTCGGGTACAAGTGTAGGGAATACCTACAAGTATGAGTACAGGTACTGAAATACAGTAGATATAGTTACAAGTACAGGTACAAGTATAATGTATTAAGTGCAAGAAACTGTTTTGTTCCTTCGGAATAAACACTAAAACGGTAACACAAAATTAATAATAAAATAACAATAAACTCCATTAAATATCCTTCTACTAATGTTATTTTTTTCCTTTTTTTTCCAACCAGGATTCGAACGGTGAGTATAAGGCATCGAGAGGTCAGGTATAAGTGGCACTCTAGAGTCACCTGGGGTGCCACACGTGGAGAAGAGGGTGGCACCTGTTGTAAGTATGAAAAATGTGACTGACAAGTTTGTGTGTGTGTTAAGTATCAAGAGAGAAGGAAACGTAAGTAGCAGTTGGTGAAGCATATGTGTCTGTCCTGCAAAACTCTAGGTGATGCGATATACTTACAAGCAAGCCTGCGCCCCCGGCACCACCTTTAATCAGGCCATCTACCGCTGCACTTAAACTGCGCCTCCACCACCACCTGCGCCACCCAGGTGAGTCACAATTCATTTCCTGTTCCACACCCAGGGACTGTCCCAGACACAAACACGAGAAAATGATCCTTTGCTTTAAAACTAACTCTCTCTCTCTCTCTCTCTCTCTCTCAGTTTAACCACAAGGTGTCTTAAAATCTCCCGAAGGTGGTATCAGGTAAAGCCCTTGTTAACTCCGGTTTACAGTGACGATACAACCTACTGCAGGAGGGAGAGTGCTCACGGTAACACAGGCTCAACCACCACCTCCACTCCACACCTTCAAGAGAGGCACTTAGGTTTTGGCTCTAGTACAGTGCCAGTAAGGGTGTCACCTCCTGCATCGCTACCGGCGTTAATAATTCCTTTGACCTGAAGATGAATAGACTTGCTTTATTAATATTATTATTAATTTACTTTTATTATTATTATTATCGTTATTACCTTATGATTACTACTTTTTATTGTTATTGTTGATATTATTAGTAGTGGTATTACTGTATTATTATTTTTATTATCAACATTATTATTATAGTTTATTATTATTTACTTAAACTAACCTATAGCCAATTGTTATACCAATATTTCCACACACCCACAGGAACACCTGGTGGATATGACGACGATGACTATCTGGAAGAGCAGCAACAACAAACAACAAAGCAGCAACAACAAACAACAAAGCAGCAACAACAAACAACAAAGCAGCAACAACAAAAGAAAAGGATTTACTATTACCAAGAAGGACAACAAATACAACAACAATGAACCGCAGTACCGAGTACAGCCAGAACATCAAAAACTTTAAATGCCAGCCACAACAACAATAAAAACAACAACTACAACAACAGCAATGGCAACAACTTCAAGAGCAGCAACAACGTCAACAAAAACATCTACAACAACAACAACAACAATGGCCATAACAAAAATCAATTTCACTGGATAAGAATCAGCTTGACAGTGTACACAACAATGACTGGCTTGTGTTGACACCCTCCACACACACACCTGCTGCCTCTATACACACCTGCTCTTACACACATGCTGTCTCCACACACCTGCTAATACGTACATATTTGTCAATTTTGCACAGCTTCTGTTCTTATTAACCCATGTTGCTCTGCATTCTCTTATAAGAACTTGTTTTGATCATTCAGTAAATCAGTTTCATTTACACTGGAATTATGTAAACACTTGTATATGGCCGATTTCTTTCATCTTACATATTATATCTAAGGAATATAATTTACAATTGTCCTTTTTAATCTTGCAATCAAGTAATCCATTATAGAAAATTATTTACAACTGGCTTTTAATAGATTAAAATGTAAACAAAAATATTCATAAATGTGCTTTTCTTTCCCAAATAAATATCCATAAAAAATATCATATTTGTATTTTATTTCGAACTGTATTTTCCAATCACTAAATCATAAAAAACTATTAGTAAAAAAACTGTGAAAAAATTAAAACTGAAAAAAATCCCAACACTAATAAAAAAATAAAGACAATAAAAAACTGTGAAAAATAAAATTACACAAAAATCACAAAAAAAACAAGAAATACCCAAAGCACGAAAAAAATCCATAAACTTAAAAAGAAAAATCACACATAGTATAAAAAATCATAAAACACAAGAAAAACACGAGGCAAAAACTAATTATTACAAGAATAACAAAAACAATGAAAAAATCCCACAAACACGAAACCGAAGTTGTATAACAGACAGTCAGCGCTCCACTAACCAGACATACTTGATGGCAATATTATCATACAGTAATATGCGATACTTCCCTTAATTACAATATAACTCTACAGGGCTATCGTTCTGTGGTCGTATAATTACTAAAAAAATGATCAGGCTTTATTGTGCATATTCAAAGTTTCTTATGATTGTTATGTTGGTGGTTTATAATAATAATAATAATAATAATAATAATAATAATAATAATAATAATAATAATAATAATAATAATAATAATAATAATAATAATAATCTTGAATTTTATTTCCTTTAAAATCAAATCATGATCATCATCTTCATCCGACTGTGAGAAACATTTAGGAATAGGAATCTTAAGCCAAGTCAACAATGTGTATTTGCTTGAAACAAGACTAACAAAGTACTTGGGTTCATACTAAGGAGTGTTAGTTACAAGACTAGCGAGGTTATCCTAAAACTATATCTTGCATTTGTGAGACCTCAATAGGATTACGCAGTTCAGTTCTGGTCACCGTACTACAGAATGGATATAGAATCTCAAGAAAGAATTAAGAGGGCAATGACACGACTAATCCCTCGCATTAAGAACCTGAGTACACAGACAGGTTAAAGCATCTAAATTTGCACTCTCTCTCGAGACGATGAGTGAGGGGCGATATGATCGAGGTGAATAAATGGAAGTCAGGGCTAAACAAAGGTGGAATAACAAAGGTACTCAAACAAACCAACCAGGAGCGAACTCGTAGCAATTTTGAGGTAGCAGGTTGTAAGCAGCTGTCAAACAGGGAGGTTCTACGGCCTGGGAAGATATTGGAAGCCTTATGTGTTGTCTAATGGTAGACCATGCTGCTATATGGCATCACGAAAATTGAGATCAAGTTCAAGGTTCCTGATCTGTCCTTCTGCCTCATTTACACACAATTGCAGGTCTCAATTGTTTCTCTTACTTGACAACACGACATACATATAGCGTTTCTCACTATTGATTTTTTCTCCATTTTTGTATTTCTTTATAGTAATTTATTATTATTATTATTATTATTATTATTATTATTATTATTATTATTATTATTATTATTATTGTCAATATTATTATTACAGTGTTTTTATTATTATTATTTTCATTATTATTTTATTTTACTTTTTATTATAAATTTAGTTTACTATGAATAATTACTATATTTTCGCTCCCGAGGCTCCGATGTGGGTCAGTCACGTGTGCCCTGGTGGGCTAAACCCCGAACAACAAAAAACAAACAAAGGAAAGACAAATTTAGATTTAGGGGCGAGATAAGTAAACATTGGTTTGAAAATAGAGTAGTGGATGAGAGGAACAAGTTACCAAACATCATCATTAACTCGAATACACTGGCAAGCTTCAAACATGTGTTGAATGATTATATGAGCGATATGGGTTGGGTGTAAACGGGACTGTCTAGTATGGGCCAATAGGCTCGTTTCAGTTTCCTCCATTCTTATGTTCTTACGTTCACAACATCATCAAAACCTAAACAAACTAACGTAAACAAGTAAACAACATACAGACCCACCATATACCTCGAGGTTAAAGTCTTGCGGCCAGAGACACAACATGAGCTGAGTTTCCCATTGATCGGAATTTTTCACGGCAGCATCATAGTCCAGAGGCTGACCGACGGAATGATTCATTTAAGGTACAGGAACACGGGAAACAACACAGTCTATACCTGTATTAGTGTCCGTGTGTTGGAGAGTATGTGGTATGGTTAGGTATGTGGTATGGTTAGCTTAGGTATGAGGTAGTGATCCATCAGGAATGTGGTAGTGTTAGGATAGGTATGTGGGAGTGTTAGGTTAGGTATGTGGAAATGTAAATTTCGGAATGTGGTAGTGTTAGGTTATGTATGTGGTAGTGTTAGGTTAGGTATGTGGTAGTGTTAGGTTATGTATGTGGTAGTGTTAGGTTAGGAGTGTGGTAGTGTTAGGTTAGGAGTGTGGTAGTGTTAGGTTAGGTATGTGGTAAATGTTAGGTTAGCAATGTGGTAGTGTTAGGTTATGTACGAGTATGTGGTAGCGTTAGGTATGTGGAAATATTTAATATGTGGTTGAACTATTTTACTCATATTTCTCTTATTAAAACAAAGTGACACAACCGATTTACATTTATAAAAAAAATCCTTTTAGTAACTTTAAACTTCATTTATGTTGTTGATATTAACACGTGTTTATACTTCAATTAACACCTGTTGACATTTGAGGCAGGTATTGTGTGTCTGTCTTGATGTTTGGCTAATGATACTAACGTTAGGGGAAGTAAATTAGTACTTAGGACGCTAACCTATCCTAACCTAACTTAATCTAACCTATTCCCTCAGGTAACGTTATGTTGGTTTATCTTCTGGAGAATTAGACCGGGGTGTTTAATCTTCAGGCGATCCGACTTTCTTCATAGTAATTAATGATATAAGTCCATCAGGAAAAGCATAAACGGAACATTTCTCTAAGTGTATATAGACTTGCAATACCATCAAGATGTTTCCTAATATGTGAGGCTTATCATCAACCACTAATATATTCAATCATCTAAATATTACGTGTAATCATCAAGCTTAAGGAATTTTATACAAGTGTGTCAACTTCTCATAGAGATTAACGTTATCAAGGAATATTTCAGTTACACACATCTCTGTAATCCTCTGTAAGCTGTAGTTGACGTCAGGGGGGGCGAGTCTACGATAGCGAGGGCAGGTACTTATACCGCGTCCCCAGCACCATACAGCCAGAGTATTCCAACATTTGTTAGACAACACATCAACCAAATCATAAGTAACAGCTCCTACACTTGCTGATACAACTCTCCCAAAACCTCTAGCATGAAGCTGTTCACCACTACATCCACCCTGGTGATCCTGGTGGTGTTGGGGTTAAGTCTGGAGATGGTGACCGCTGAGGACTGTGACCTGCCAACCTGTACAGTCATCTCTGGGCAGGAAGTTCGCTGCAAGAACCCTTACGCCTGGTTCGAATTTCACCCTCACCCAGCCAATCCTAACCAGTACGTGCAGTGCACTAGGTATGGCCCTCAGGTGATGACCTGTCCCCAGGGTTTGATCTGGTCACAGTCGTCCAGTCTGTGCACCTATGACTACAATAAGCCCATTCCTGACACCGACCCCCTCGTCTGTAACTGCAACAACTGCTTCCTGCCCAACCCCGCTGATGCTACTACCTACTACTGGTGCTTCGTGAGTAGTCTTGTGTTTCTTTATGTTACATCACACACTACAGGCACAGATACAAGTTCGGGTACAAGTGTAGGGAATACCTACAAGTATGAGTACAGGTACTGAAATACAGTAGATATAGTTACAAGTACAGGTACAAGTATAATGTATTAAGTGCAAGAAACTGTTTTGTTCCTTCGGAATAAACACTAAAACGGTAACACAAAATTAATAATAAAATAACAATAAACTCCATTAAATATCCTTCTACTAATGTTATTTTTTTCCTTTTTTTTCCAACCAGGATTCGAACGGTGAGTATAAGGCATCGAGAGGTCAGGTATAAGTGGCACTCTAGAGTCACCTGGGGTGCCACACGTGGAGAAGAGGGTGGCACCTGTTGTAAGTATGAAAAATGTGACTGACAAGTTTGTGTGTGTGTTAAGTATCAAGAGAGAAGGAAACGTAAGTAGCAGTTGGTGAAGCATATGTGTCTGTGTATCTGCAAAAGCTAATGTCGCTACCTTCACTGTTTATCGTCTGTCTCTCTCTCTGTCTCTGTCTCTCTCTCTCTCTCTCTCTCTCTCTCTCTCTCTCTCAATAATCATCTCTCTCACCCGCTACAGGTGATGGAGTAGCAACACCCAACAAGCAAGCCTGCGCCCCCGGCACCACCTTTAATCAGGCCATCTACCGCTGCACTTAAACTGCGCCTCCACCACCACCTGCGCCACCCAGGTGAGTCACAATTCATTTCCTGTTCCACACCCAGGGACTGTCCCAGACACAAACACGAGAAAATGATCCTTTGCTTTAAAACTAACTCTCTCTCTCTCTCTCTCTCTCTCTCAGTTTAACCACAAGGTGTCTTAAAATCTCCCGAAGGTGGTATCAGGTAAAGCCCTTGTTAACTCCGGTTTACAGTGACGATACAACCTACTGCAGGAGGGAGAGTGCTCACGGTAACACAGGCTGAATCACCGCCTCCACTCCACACCTTCAAGAGAGGCTCTTAGGTCTTGGCTCTAGTACAGTGCCAGTAAGGGTGTCACCTCCTGCATCGCTACCGGCGTTAATAATTCCACTGACCTGAAGATTAATAGACTTGCTTTATTCTTCTTCTTCTTCTTCTTATTATTATTATTATTATTAATATTTTTTTATAGTTTATTGTTATTATTATTATTATTATTATTATTATTATTATTATTATTATTATCATTATCATCATTATTATTATTATTATTATTATTGTCATTATTATTATAGTTTACTATTATTTACTTAAATTACCCATAGTCAATGCCTTTAAAAGCACTCCAACACACCCACAGAAACACCTGGTGGATATGATGATGATTGCCTGGAAGAAGAGCAGCAACAACAATAAAGCAGCCAGGGGAAACGACAAGAACAATAAACAACAACAAAAGCAGGAACCACAAGAGTCAGAGAAACGACAA